GTGTGACGGCTAAGTATTAGGACTTCCTCTCTATACTAGTTTCGATCTACACATTTGCAAGGACAAGCTCATAATGAATGCTTCTGGCTGCGAGTCCACCCTCTATACTACGAGTCGAAAAGGAGCTTGTTCGCGATAGAGCCGACCACCAGGGCCGGCCCCCCCTCCACCTCCCTCCAGCAATTAGCGTCACCCTTCGCTTGGGCATTCCTGGGAACGGCCAAGAACAGCGACGGTCAGCCAAAATCAACAAGAAGAAGAGGAATTGGTAAGGATACTTACGCGTACGTCAGATAATCGGGAAGACCACAGTCAAAATGAATAGTAAGAACGCACGCTAAGGATGGAAGGGCCAGGGAAGGCCGTGCCAACACTTTTCGAGCGGGGCACGGCCAACGAAAGTGGCCAAGGATGGGCTAAGGGAAAGGATGCAAGGGAAACCTTGGAAACTCGCTCATCCTCACTATCAGGGTTTGACTGTAGCAGGCAGCTCACAAGCACTGGCCATCGACCGCATGATGCGGTGCTGGCGCGGTGATGCATTGGGCACGCTGTGGTGCTCACAGGAAGCATGGACAATGACATCCACAACGACATACCGCCTGAAAGGAGGTAGACCGAGTCGAGTTCTGCCGTGGCTCATGCACTCGGTGGAAGGAGACACAGGGGTCGAAGTCAAGCACGGCTCGAAAGGGAGGGAAGGAGGGAAGCAGGGGAGAGGAGGGAGGCGGGAACAAGCCCAAACGACTTGTTTGACTACACCTCTGCAACAGAAGGAGGGGGCCAAGCGCGCCCCCGGCCCCGAGGCTGAGGGTAGCCGGCCCCGCTGTCGTCGTCGTCGCCGTCGCCGTCGTCGTGCTCAAAGGCGTGCCTGTTGAGCTCAACGGTGCGCCTGCGAGCACCGTGGGAAACGCCCCTGGACTCCGCAACACCATGCGAACATCACTGCATTGACACCGGGCTGCCTGGTAAAACCCCAATTTGCGCCCGCGTCCCAGTTTGCTAATCCAGAATGATATCCAACTATTTCTTCCTCACCTGGTCACTCTCACGAATCCCACCGACCCTCTGGGCTGACGTGGTTTTAAACGTTTCCTCTTACATCCTCACCCTTCTTCCCCTTCGGGAAGGGGCTTACCTCTCCCACGTTCCCCTGGCCGTCAATGCCCCCGTCTTGTCGCAGAAGCGGGGCCCGGGGACAGGTGGTCACTGGAGAGGTGCGGTCAGGCTGGCCAGATGCCGACGTCGCGGGGGAAACAACGACGCCGTGGAAGGTGAGGGTCCCCGGGGGGCCATGATCGGGGCGGGGAAATGCCCATCGCACTCGTTGCTCACGGCGCCCGCGCTCCAGGGGAGAAGGAAGGCACAGCAGCCCGGGGCCACGAGACGCCCAGCGAGCCCGCAGGGCGCCTGAATGGTGTCGTCGGCGGCACCCGTTTGCTGCCTCTCCTCGTTCTGGCGCACCATCTGCAGCACCTCCGCGGCGGGGGGGGAGGACGCGCGGCAACCAAGCCGCCCCGTTTCGCGTTCTCCCTCTGCCAGCCCCCAGAGAAAGAGTGACCTCTCGGGCTCGGGCTCCCGCTCGGGCTCGCGCTCGGGCTCGGGTTCGGGCTCGAGCTCGGGTTCCAATCCAAACTCGGGCACTCCCGCTCGGGGTCGCAGCCCCGGACAATCTTCCGCCAAAGCTGCGGGAAAGAACACTGAGGCGGCGCCGCACTCGCGGCACCCGCGGAAGCGCGGGATCTCGAGCACAGCCGAGCGCAACTAGCGGGGCACGAGGCCGAGGAAGCGAGGGGCCACGGCCAGAGGAAGGCCGTCGGGAGGGGGCGATGGAGGAACGCCGGTGGTTCAGATGCTCGCTCCGTCCACGCGCGGCCTCCGCCTCCGCGCTTGCGCCGGTCACTGTGCGTCGGGCCCTGGGCCCACTCGCCTTTTGTGAAACACGAACGGGAGTTCCCCGGCGCATCGAGCCCAAGATGCGTTCACTTTTATGGCAAAGTCCCTGCGTTTTGGGCCCTCCAGGCGAACAGCGATCCCAAATACAGAACTTGCGGCAGGGGGGGTCGGAGGACCCCCCCCCTCCCTAAGGCGCCCCCCTTGGGAAAGGTTCAGATTCTAACGGGGCGTCTCAAATTCCATCTGGACGGTTCAGATCCCAACTACTAATGAAACCGGAAAGCTTCATATTCCAGCCGAACTCACAGTAGCTTCCAAGCTGAAGAAAAAGTTTGGTCGGTGCTGCATAAGCGTTTCACAAGCGTTTCCTAGAAAACGCCTCCTCGGTATCCTGACGTTTCCCCGTGTCTTCCACGTAACATGCCTGGTGAATTCCTGAAGATTCCTCGAAATGTTCTTTGCATTTTCTGAAAGATGGATTCGGATTCCGGAACACTGCATGGGCGCAAAACTCTGGGTGATTTGAATAACTTTTGAAAATCCCCGAACTATTCCTGACCAATTTCTGGTGGGGAACCTGAAGGATTCCGGAATTCCTTAAAATCCCAGAAGTATTCCGAAGGGATTCTACAAGATCCCTGAAGGATCCCTAGAGATCCAACATGGAATCCGGAAGGAGATATCAAGGATTCTTGCAGGAGTCAGAATGGATTCCCGACGGGTCCTGATGGATTCCTGGCGGTTCCTGAAGGCGCCCTAACGCATTCCTAAGGGTTTCAGAAAGATGTCTGACGAATTCGAATAGATTTCTGAAATTTCCCCTACGGAGATTTGAAAGACCCAGGACGCCTTCTAAAACAGAATGGCGAGAACTTCCTCCGGATTCCTGAAAAAATCCTGCGGGGTTTCTGACGGGTGCCTGCAGATTCCTGAGGATTCCTGGGGGCCCTCATGGAGTTTTCATGGATCCCTGGGGATTTCTGCGGTTTCTCGGGGGGTCCTGAGAACTAGTGGGGATTCCTGAGAGATCCTTCGGGATTGCCAAAGAATTCCTCCATATTTCTTTTGAAAAATCAGAAAGGGTCTGAAGGATTCAGAACGAATCCTCCCGATGTATGAGGTTTCTTTCGGGTGCGAGTACGTACTCCATGCGGAATTCTGAATATTATGACAGGATTCCTGTGGGAGTCCTGAGGGGCCCCCAAGAATTCACGAGGGCTCCTGAAGGAGACCTGAATGAAAGGTCCCTGGAAATTCCTACAGAAGTCCTGGGAGATCCTGGGAGGATTCCTGAAGGAATTCAAATGGCATAATCAGCCAACTGGGGCGTCAATGGGGGCGCGCTGGCGCCAGCCACGCGCAGAATTCTTAAGCATGTGTTGTTGTCGTTTTCATTTGTTCATGAACCATGCACTGCGAAATGCGACTGCCTTTGCCTCCTGCGAAAACCTCGAACATTCTAATTACTCCGTTGCTCTGCCGACAACGCATCGGACAAGTGCAAGTCCAAGACTGCCTCAGAAGCATGTATTGTTGTACATTGAATCAGGTTACAGGTTCAGATATGCACCAAAAGCAGCGCCCCGCCGATGTTTTTAATATTATGCTCGTTGTTCGTTGTCGAATCAGTTGTTCAATTGATCGCGCGTTGATTCAAGTTCCCCTGCAGGGTTCTCGTTCTAGATATGTCGATCCCAGCCTCCTGCAGGATGCCTTACCCTTATGAGGATTCCCCACGCAAGATCGCATCACAAGGATACGCGCTGATCCCAGCCTCCCGCGGGATGCTCGAATATTTCAACTGTTTCTCCTACAGGGGGTGAACAGGGCATGCGCCGACCCAGCCCCCCCGCAAACTTGCCCATCTGTCCCGCGCGCTTGCCATCTGGAATTCCATTGCAAATGCGCCCCGCCCGATCATCCAACAAAACTAAAAACCGATTTGTGCTTAAGCAGAAGCTGCGCGTGGCCTGCGCGCGTGCGCGCGCGTGCGCATGTGAATGCGCGCACGTGCGCGCGTCTGTGTGCACGTGTGTGCCGCAGCCATTTTGGTTCAATTTCCAACCCCTTTCGGGGGGGGCTGGAGCTTGAGGTAGCCGCGGGCTCGAGGGGCTGGCCGGGCGGCTGGCCCCGGCGGCGGCCCGGGCGCGCGGCCGGCGCGTGGGTGGCGGGCCGCCGCTGGCGCCAGGCGTCGTCTACTGAGATCGTCGCCCTGCTTACCATTCGCACCGCGCCCATATAAGTTGCATACATACAACATACATCATTGATATAACGTACATATAAGTTCCACATACAACATACATGTGCCGCATGCGTTTCCTAACCAGCGGATTCGTTTACGGAGGTTTGTTCATCCACACTAACCACAGACGGTGTTTACCATTGTGGATCTGTGTAGGTTTGTAAACGCTTAGCGTGCTTACGCTTGGGCTTACTATATATATGTATGTGGATGATAAGGAGGTTGGGGGGGTACTAAGTAGTTCAGCAACCAGGATAGCAACCAGGATAGCAACCATGATAGATATGAAAAAAAAAAACATAGATCAGTTGTTTTTTTTTTTTTTTTTTCCGCAGGGGCGTGCAGATTTTTGTTGCGCGGAGATAATTGCGTTACTGGAGACCAGATTTGTGTAAGATATTGTTCGCCGAGGTGTAGTTTTCTGTGCGAGGATGGTAATTACCATCGTGGTCAATCCTGTAGATAGCTGTTTGGGGCTCTTCGCAGATCGTTCATGTTCGGGGTACCCGTAAACGATAGCCTTATGGTTACTATCGCTGTGCACGAAGCATTGGATAAAGTAGAGCCAACCATCAAACCGATCATCGACAAATGTTCTGGCACTGCTGGAGAAAATGGAATGCAAAACCAAATCAAAGCTGAGGTACGGAAGATTTGCAACCTGCTGCTTGAAAATGGGTTGGCGTATTTTCAGCAGTTGCCCGCGCAGTTCTGTGGGACGGACAGTAGCAACCGCTGGGGCTTGGGATTAGAAGTGGCAGACGTGCACGAATTGCTAGACAAGTTGCTCAACGCGGGTTTCGACCCAGAAGAGTGCAGGCAGGCGACGTGTTTCGAGAGGGCCCCTGGTGATAAGGGCATGGAGGCATGGACATTCAATAAGGATTTGTGGGAGCGCAATGGTGGCTACCTAGTGCCGTTCACCGACTCGGACTTGAAATGCTTGACCGTCGCCGCGTCCCACACCGTTGCGACCGTGAGGTGTGCGATGTACGGTGCCAAGGGCATCAATCCTGAGATCTGCATGCCCGACGGCGCGATTTCTAAAGATTTGGTTCTGGGCAAGGCGTCGTCCTGCAGCATCCCGATGACCCAGGGGATGCCCTTCCTCGTGATCAAGTGGGAAGTGAAGGAGAAGTTTGAGGGCTTAGCATCTCTGTTGCAGGAGGCGTTCAACGAGACGCACGCTTCGTACCGCCACGAGTCCAAGATGCAAACGTTGCAACGTATCCACAAGGTCCTTGGTGGCATCCGAAATGCAAAAACAAATATATATTTTTGGGTGGGGGGCCGTCATTGCAAATGCATTTCGTTTGCCACCGACCCCAGTGGGCTTCGACAAACCTGGCGTTGAAGAAGGACGCGGGCTGGGATGGCATCACTGCCCGACTTGAGAAGTCGAAGCCCGCCCTTCGCGGGCACGTGAGGAGTATGTGCAGCTTCGTCGAGAAGTGGAGCGGGGGGGGGACGGCCCTTTCCTGACTGAGATCGTCAACTACTCCAAGTGCATCGGCGACGAGAGGAAGGACGTCTCGACGAAGACCTTCACGGCGCTGGCGGGCGCCCAGCTGGCCTGCGCCCCACGGTGGATCGTAGCATACTTGAAGGCGCGCCTCGTTGCACCAGATACTTTTTGCAAAGACGGAGTGTCTAACATGATTACTGGCAGCGACCTCGCCGAGCTGCAGCACACGGGCAAGAAACACGTGCAGGTCATGGCGTGCGGCGTCGTCTTTGGGGAGGTGGACGCGTTCCTGAAGACGATCACTGGTTTAGCGGCCGCGGCAGCCGCCAAACTTGCAAGCGATTTGCAAATTCGTTGCGTGATGATGGTTATGGCCAAAAAGGCAAAGGGGCGGACGGTATACGGAACCCTGGACGAGATCAAGGCCAAGTTCATTGAGGAGCTGTGCATCGCGTGCCCACTTGCTGCCAATGTGACGCCCCCCTGGACCACGGAAAAGGACACTACCAACGCTGCTGCCCCTTCGGGCGGCTTCGTCGAGTACGTCCAGTCTGGTGGGCAGATGGTCGTCGACGGCAAGGTGATTACCGACCTCGGCTTCGACGTCGGCGTCTTGGTGAAGGCGCAGTCAGGCGACGACGGCATCTACAAGATCGTCGAGATCAAGGGCTGCGAGGTCAAGCTTTCCAAGGACACCGATGCCCCGAAGGGCAAGTGCAAGGGCAAGGGGAAGGCCAAGCCCATCACGATCACCACGAGCAAGCTCATGGATGAGTATAAGGTGCCGTGCTTCTCGCATCTCCCTCCACCCCATTCGAAACACCGATGAGTCGGCTAGCGATTAGGTGGACTGGGGGGTGTCAGGCGCATCCTATGGCGGAGCTGATGGCGCATCATATGGCGCAGTGGTGCACCTGCTGGGGCAACGGCCGATTTGGTGGATTGCGGGGCGACGACGACGACGACGACGACGACGTCGACGACGACGATGACGACGACGACGACGACGACGACCAAATCTTTTGAACCAGCTGTGTCAAAAGATTTGGTCCGTGGTCGCCCCTGCGCCCGCCCCTGCCGATAGGTGCACGTGCAGTCCGAGAAGTTCGAGATTAAGGTGGACCCCGCGAACGCCCAGCAGAACCCCATGAGGCACAAGGACCTCGGCTCCGAGATGCTGAAGTCGCAGGCGCGCTCTCTCTCTCTCTCTCTCTCTCTCTCTCTCTCTCTCTCTCTCTCTCTCTCTCTCTTGCGCCGCCGCGGCTTGGGCCAAGATAGCTACGGAGGGGGGGGAGGGCGGATGGGGAGGAGGAGGTGGAAAGAGGATGCTGAGGAGTAGGAGGTTGGAAGATGAGGAAATATGGAGGGGGAGAGGGGAGTGCAGGGTAAAACATACGTTGTGCTGATGTTAGTTTTCGCTAGCGTTTCAACGTGTGTCATCCGTTGGTGAAGGGAGCCCTCTGATAACGGAAACGTCGAAAATCCCCGGCTTAAATGGGAGGGCTGGGGGGGGGAGAATGCGGGGATGGGGGGGTCTAGGTCGGCCGTTTTGTTATGGTTTTGCTGTGGGTATCCCCATATCTCCTTCGCGCCCCATTTAGTCGATGGTCTCGGCACGCTGTTAACGTTGTTTCTGACCTTTGCCCTCGGCCTCCCCCGACGTCCCGCGACCCCCGCGCCGCCCCCAGGTGCGCATTGCTATCGCCGACCTCTTCGCGAAGCACATGGGCGACGTGTGCGTCACCATCGTCGTCGCCAAGACGGGGAAGTCGGTGATCGCCGACAAGGCGTACAAACCAGGAGAGCTCGTGCTCGTGCCTTTGTGCAGTACCGTAGGGGTTTCCACCTCCGTGCCTACGAACGCTATTCTTGTCCCTGGCGCCCCCACGTGGTATAGCAACCTCCACTCTCTGTACCCAGTGCCTAAGTGCGATCTCCCGCAAGAGGGATCGGATGCCAGTGCCGATACATTCATTGTGCCGTACCTCTGCGTCCCTGGGACGCAGGACGCGGCGCTGGCTAACATGGCCCCCAAGTACATAGATGTGCGTTGTCAGCGTGAGGATTGTTATCTCAATTGCACTCTTAGGCTGCCTGTCATCTCTAGCACTAAGAAGCTTTTGAAGGGCCAGGAGCTGTTCCAGAAAACAGCCGACCCGAGGATTGCAACGATCAAATCGCCCAAGAAAGATTCCAAGGCTAGCCCGAGCCCCAAGAAGAGGGCCGCGCCAGACGCTTCTGGGCCCTCGAAGTCTCGTAAGTCGCGTTGAGGGTGGCCATGCGCTGGTCGGTCTTGCTTCAGCCCTTGCAGCACTCATAGGAGTGCGGCGTCGGGAATGGGCGTCGCGGGGCCACGTAGCTCGTTATTTGCTCCAGTGCTCCAGCCCGCTGTGAGTTGATGGATGGGATAGGGGGGTATAGTTTTCAAAGTTGGGGAGGAATGAGATTTCTTGCCTCGCGATGGCTGTAGAGCAGGGAGACCGTCGTGGACGGCACTCGTGGCGTGCAAACGTAGCGTGCGTTGCCTGTCCATGGTTCGGCGCGCGTGTTTACGCAGCATGTCGCGCGCCTGGCACTTACAGTTTCGCTTGGGCGATTGCGGCTGGCCAGATACCTAAGAGTGCGAGTAGATTATCATTGGCCTCTGTGTGGCTGAAATGGAAGGCGGGCAGGGGCGAGGGTAGAGGCGAAGCAACCCCCTCCCCCCTTCGATTAGTCTGGAGCAATGAGAGGGCAGAGGGGGAGGGAGGGGGGAGGATGAAAGGAAATTAGAGGGAGGAGGGGGTGAGGGATGAGGGGGTGGAGGGCGATAGGGGAGGAGGAGGAATGACAAGTGGAAGCGAACGAGCAAATCGAGCGACAACATCTGGTATCGACCGAGTTTCTGGGTGGATGGGCTGAGCAACGCACGAGCTTCGGCTATGCCCTCTGGCTTGCATGTCCCAACGTGACCCACGAGCGAACGTAGTCGAGCATCGCTACCTCGTCTTCCCTAGCATGCTCGTCCTCATCCCCTCATCTTCCTTATCATGGTACCTTCATCTTCCCTCCGAGTCCCTCCCCTCTCGTCTTCCACATCCCGCTCCCCCTCCGATGGGCGCCAGGGGGGCCAGGTGCCGCAGTTGCTTGCTTGCTTGCGTCGAGGCCCTCACTCGAGCATTGTGGGGGAGGGGAGGGGAGGAGGGGCGAAAGAATCGATAGAGACACATAACAATTAGGGCAGATGGGGTCGACCGATGCCGAAGCTGCTTTAGCTGGCAAGGGTTCGCTGTACTTGAGCCTGTTAGCTGTTGCACTAAGCCCCGGCACATCGTGGTAATGGTTTCGCTCTGTCATGGCTGGACGTTGGTATGCAAGTCGGGCACGGTACCGTCACCGTCCAATTCGTGGGCGACCAAGCCTGTCCATGAGCCTACATCGGACCAATCGTTCGTCCCGATCGATCGGCGCGATGCGAAGCTTGCCAAACTCCTTGGCCGCTCATTCAAGATGGTCGATTACCTAATTGAAGCTCGGAACACAAAATGCCATGATCTGATGAAGCAGGTAGTTGAGCCAGCTCCCCAGCAGTTGTTGGACCAGGACGGCGACGCACCAGCAGTGAAGCGCGCCAAGAAGGATCTCAAGGACGAGATTCCAGCCTACGTGACGTTGGAAGTCCAGACAGTCGATGGCGGGAGTCATTCGGTGAACGTCCTCTCGACCGCTGCGGACCGAAGCATGCTGTGGATTGAATTTAGTCCCGAAAGCATCGCCCTTCTTCAGAAAGAGCCAGCCCACCAGCCAGAGAAGAAGTGGCTGCCGACCATCTCTCAGGAACACGTCTCATGGTTGGCATCTCGGCACTCTGTCACTACCAGCTACTGGGACACAAAGAAGGACAAGTGGGTCCAGAAGTCCTTTCCCGTGCCGTTTCCAGACCCTTATGATGTGGAGGCCGTGCAGGCTCATGCAATACTTTGGCTGAGGTGCTAGAGGACGTTTACAATAAGTTTCACAATCAGCCGATCTCGGATTAGGCAGAGACTCCTCGGCTGTGCACTAGCGGTGATCGCTCGGCTTGCAAGCGGCCCGTGTGGCTGCCCATTGGGAGGGGCGCTTTCTGGGCATGTGTGTGACTAGGGGCGCGGCGACAGGCTGCGGCGCACGCGTTAATTGGTGAATGTTGCTCTGGCGCGCTCGCTTTAGGTTGGCAGCGCATTGAATCGGTGGCGCCGCACCGACGCGCACTTTGTGCATTGGGGGATTCACGTTGGCAGTTGCATCGCAGTCTCAGCAGAGCAAAAAACATAGTGGCGAGGGCGCCTCAAGGTTGAAAGCGCCTGTACTTGGGACGCCAGTGGGCCAGGCATGCTCGGAGGCGCCTTTGGCCTGAACGCGCTGTGAGCAGTTCAGGCATGTGCTCGAACGCGCTGTGAGCAGTTCAGGCCTGTGGCCTGAACTCGCTGCGAGCATCTCGAGCGGATGTTATTCAAACGCATTTGGAACCCATTATGTTTTCATCTTGTGCGGCTCCAACTGCTCAGGAGACGTTGGAGCGAGCGCTCGAGAGTCCCCTGGGGAGTTCAGGCGACAGGCCTGAACAGCTCACAGCGCGCTCAGGCGAGCAGAGAGAAATCGTTGCGACTCAGGCCGGAGTTTTTTGACCATCCCATGCCGCGATCACTTTGCGTTCAGGTGGCGTTGCCGCTCATCGTTGTAAGGTGTGACCTCCCCCTGCCCACTAGCCCCTCCTGCTTCGGTTTGCACTCATTCTCTCTACGTCCTCCAGCCTCTCGCGCGCCCTCCCGCTTCGCCTCAGGCTGGCACTTGGTGCGGGGGGCGAGGGGAGCACGCCCCCCAGGTCAAGGCACGGGCGTTCACTATCGCGCAGTGGGGGCGCTCCGGAGCAACACTTGTCGACCATCCCGCTGCCATTGCAACCTCATAGCTCGTTTTAGTGGCATCAGATTTTACTTTTTCAGAGGCTTCCGACACTAGGTTACGTTGCCACCTCGTGCCAGCTATGGCGACAGCAATGTCGTTCCATGCCCAGCGCTTGTGCGCCATCCTGCAGCAACGCATCCAGTACGTGACCGCTCAGGCGGCGAGCGGTCTACCCATCGAGGCGCTCAAGACCAGCCAGGCGAACATGTTGGCGACGGAGTTCTTCAACTCGGAGGGGGTAGACCGCGATGTGGCCACGCAGGTCTCCCGACAGGTTGCTGTTTCGGCGTTCTCTCCAGAGCAGAAGATACAGCTGGCCAACGCACTCAACGAGAACGCCATGCGCAACGCCGCAGGGCTCCACAACGGCGAGGGCGCGGGGGGCAGGGCTCAGCAGGCCCACGACTTCTTGCAAAACTTCTTCACTCAGTCGGACTTCGATTTCATCGGATCGCCCGAGCACGGCATCGACCCCAAGGTCAGGGTCATGTCCATGAGGATGCACTCCATGGGCATCACATGCCCAGGGAACAAACTGCTGAAGAGGGCTGCGGCAATCCTGATCGTTGCCAGCCCCGACCTGGACAACGACGTGCTGAGCGCGACCTACAAGCAGACCTTGGCCAGGAAGTTTCAAACGGCCGTCAAGGCCTTGGACGCTCAGCGCGGCAGGTACCCGTTCACCCACCGCAAAAGGTATCCCGAGTCGCCCGACCAGTTCAGCCCGCAGGAGTTCAAGCATGCGTACGGGGACGATCAGCCAGTTACGCCGACGTTGCCTGGGCTGGAGCAAGTCTACAACACCGTCTGGGTGAGGGACAGTGCCCGCGCCCTAAAGGCCCAGGCTAAGCCGCAAGCGCCGCCGCCGCAGCAGCAGATGCAGTTGGCCACCCAGTCCCCCCAGCACCAGTTCCCCAACTTTGGCTTCCCGATGAACCCGCAGATGATGCAGATGGCGCACGAGATGCAGCAGCGGCAGCAGCAGCAGAGCCAGGACGTCATCCCGGGGATGATCTACAACCCTCCCAGGGGTGGCGCCGCCGTCGGGCCACATGGGCCCTCCGCTGTCGCAGGCGGTTATGGTAGTCCGATGGGTGCCGCTGCTGTTTCTACGGCGAGCAGTCCTCTCAGTGGCCCTGGCGGGGACTCGCCTCTTGTGGGCTCGCCTGGCGCGGACTTGCCTGGCGCGGCCCAGCAGCCTCTGGCGGCTAACGGAGGCGCTGGCGCTGGCGACACCATAGAAGAGTTCGAGCGGAAGATGCTCGAAGCCTCGGCCGAGGCGGGCGCGAGGGCGAAGAGCAAGGCTAAGGCCAAGGGCAAGGCGAAGGGCAAGGGCAGCAAGGGGACCGCGAAGGCCAAGGCCAAGGCCAAGGCCGCCGACGCCGCGCCGAAGGGCAGCGCGATCAAGATCGTCAAAGGTTTGGGGCAGTGGGGCCATGGACGATAGCGAGGATAGTGGAAGGGAGTGATGGAGGGAGTGATGGAGGGAGGGAGTGATGGAGAGGCGGGTGAGGCAGGGAGGGGAGGGGGAAGAGGAGGAGAACGAGGCTCGGAGGAAACATGAGACGAACACGAAACAACAGGAAACCACAATGAGGACATCGGAGGATGAGCACGTGAGAAACGAGCACTTAAGAGTGGGTTTGCAGTACATTTGCTTCGCTCTCTCTGTCTCGCCCCTTGAAGTTTAGCTCGGTTTTTTTGAAGGTTTTTGATGCCTCGCCTTGCTCGTCCCCATCCTCGGTATCCCTGTCCTCCGTCTCCCAGGGGGGAAGGGGTGCGCTCTTACAAAACTCCTCTCCCTCACTCCCCCTGGCCCTGTCATGCGCTTCCTACGCCAAATGCAGGGGGAGGGAGGTGTGGACAAGCTGGACTTCAAACCGCTCCTGAAGCCGTCCGAGTGCAAGGGCAGGACGGAGGGGGCATTCACTACGAGGGCAGCCGCTGGGGGGAGGAAGCTCGCCGCTGATGCGGGGCTCTGCGCTGAGGGGCAGAAGCAAGCAGCAGCAACAGCCTACAAGGCCGCAAGAGCAGTTTACGCAAAGCACGGCGCGAAATAGAGTAGCACGGCACGAAGTATAGTGTGCAATCATGCGTGCAAGACGCATGAACACTTACAGCTCGTAGCGGCGCCCCCCTCTCTCGCTCTGTCTCTATCTCTCCCCCTCTCCCCTCCCCCTCCCCTCACCACGTCTCCGCATCAAATGTGGGTTCCACAGCCCTGTCTTCATCTTCTTCCTGCTGCTGCTGCTGCTCTCCTCTGGGCTTAGGGGTCGTCGTCGTCGTCATTTTCGTCGTCGTCGTCGACGTCGTGGTCGCGGTCGCGGTGGCGGTCGTGCTCACT